TGTATTAAAAAGATTTTATTTATCACTACCAATCATGGTTCAATGTATCAATATGCTCGATACTTAAAAATTCAATCTGACATGACTAACCTTGTAAGTGTATATATACTCTTTTCTTTAATTATTATTTCAATTAATGCCCTTCTTTTGATATGGAAAAAAAAATCAATGAGCATCTTACCACCATTAATGCACACTTGCGGCAAGGTGATGGTTGTAGAATGTAGCAGAGAATTGAGATACGTATTGAATATGACAATAAATTTAGATTCTAATACATATTTGTATTCAAAATGAGAGTAAAATGCAAAAGTTAGTGAGTGTAAGTAGATTTTAGTCCTATGATTTTTTTTACATCTAATTTATACTATTTTAAAAAATAGGAATAGTCTTAATAATATTTTTGGAATTTTTTAGGACAAAATTTATCCTTTTATATTTAAATTTATTGATAAAAAAGATGGCAAATAGGATAATTGGTTATTGATATTAAATGACTTAAAAATAAGTAATTTTAAGATATTCAATGCATTCAACTCCCTTTCATTAAATCCAACATTTAAGTTATTAACTTATATTCATCTGCTTACAAAAAAAAAAAAAAACTTGCATTCACCTTCATTGAATCATTTATTTAGGACATTTTTGTTTCTTCTCATCATTAAGGGTCCATTTGGTTCGTAGTCGGAATGGGAATTGGAATTTGAATCGGAATCGAAATCCTCTAGAATCAGAATTGAAATGGTCCATTCCCATAGTCTGTTTGGTTCAGATAGAAATGGGAATGGGAATTAAAATCAGCAAGAATGTGATTTCATTCCCAAGGGAGGGGCAGAGAATGGCAATTCCAGCAGGAATGGGAATGGGATTCCGATTCCGCCCAACCAAACAGTTGGGATCAGAATAGCCCATTCCAATTCTGATTCCAGACCCATTTTCCTACAAACCAAACGGACCCTAAATTCTATTAATTAAATTCATATATAATAAATTAATAATTTCAATAACACAAAAAATTATACTTTTAAAATATATCTTGAAAAAAAAGTGTTTTCATCTAGGTGGTGGTAGGAAATTAAATCATTTTGGGTCAAATGGGACAATCTATGTTGTCACAATTAAATAATAAAATTTAAAAATAGATAAAATACAAAAAATATAAAAATTAAAAAAAATGGGAAAATTTTTAACATTATATATTCGGCATATTAAATAAGAATATGTATGATAAATAAAAAATGATTTTATTAATGATTGAAATGGAATGAAAAATTTAAAACTAATTGGAAATAAAATTATTTTCCTATTTTCACTCATTAAATCTCATATTTAAGGTATATTCTCTCATTAAATCCTATATTTAAGATATATTTTTCTCATCAATAAATTCTACTAATTAAACCCATAACATTAATTTTAATAATATAAAAATAAATATTAAAAAAAAGAATTTAAAAACAAAATCATTTTCTTCCCTCTCGGTGGGTAAGCAATTTTACCATATGGGGTCAAATGGGTTAATACATAATATCATAATTAAATATATAATACAAATAAAAATAAAAAAGAATTGAACATATCTCTAATATTGTATATTCATTATACTAAACAAAAACAAGTATGAAATGTAAGAAGTATTCTTATTAATGTTGAAAATGTAATCCAAATTTAAAATCAACCTAGAAATGAAATGATGCCATGCATAGTCAAATAGAAAATTTTTTAAAAATAAAAAATACAAAGAATCACAAAAGTAAAAAAAATAAAGAAACGTTTGGGCATATAACTAATGTTATATATTTATAAAAAAATAAAATATTGGGTACATATCTATTATTATACATTCATTATATTGAACAAAAATAAGTATTATACATAAGAAATAATTTTATCAATGATGGAAATGTAGTACAAAATTTAATGTCAACATAGAAATCAAACTATTTTTCTTTTTGGGTGATGGGTTAGTAGTTTGGATCAAATGATAATCGATGATATAATAACTAAATAGTAAATCTTTAAAAAAATAAAAAAAGTACAAGTAATCAAAAGAATATATAAAAAGTTATATATTAATTATTGATGCATCACTTTTTGGTGATGTATCAACTTTTTTGTGCTAAGTACCTCGTCATTTGGTCTGATCCCAAGTGGTCGATGACTCAGAGGCCGAAGTGGAGCTGCCTAGTGTAGCGCAACCTAGTTGCTCCCTACAGGAGATGATCTGGCTATCTTTGTAGACGGTGGACCTGGTTGATTTGCAATAATTGAATCAAAGAACCCGGGGGGTGTTTACCCGGCGAGATCACTCCGATGGCTAATTAGCACTTAGTTGTGAGCTGAAAATGATATTAGAGAATGAGAGAGCTAGAGAGTAGAGATTACGCATACCCCTCCCTTCTCCTCGCCCCTAGGGGGGGAGTGAGGCCTTTATATACTGGAGTCCTTGTGGGTTTGGTGGAATAGTTCCTGGATTTCCGCTGTGACGGGATCTGTTTCCGTGTTAATTGGGGATAACGCCACCAACTGGTAAGGTTGCCCATTTTCACTTGAATCGGGGAGTGGGTGAGCTAATATAGCCGTTATAAGGTACGATCCCGTAAGACACGAGGTACGATGGTGAGATCCTTGGAAATACCACACGGTGATCGGTCTGACTAGGAAGCGAGCTGCCCGTAAGGTGTCAGGCTACATGGTGGCGAGCTGCCTGTGAAGTGTAGGGCTGCTTGGTGGCGAGCTGCCTGTGAGGTGGCGAGCAGCCTGGTGGTGAGCTGCCTGTGAGGTGCCGAGTTGCTTAGTGGTGAGCTACCTAGTGGCGATCTGCTTGTAAAGTGCCGGGCTACACCTAGTTGTCATGAGGTGCCATGTGTCATAATGTCATTGGAGGGCCAAATCCACCTTCATCAATTATGTAAAACAAAAATCAAGTATGATAAGTATAAATTATTTATATAATGTAGATGGAATATATTACATAAAACTAATCTGAAAGCAAAGATATTTTCTTATTTAGATGGTGGGTCAATGGTCTAACTTTTTAAAGAAACTCATGATGTCGTAATTGAATTATAAATATTTTAAAAAATATAGAACACAAAAAATGAAAAAGTGTAGAATTTTGTTAAAAACATTTGGAAACATTTCCAATGTTCTATATTCGTCATATTAAATAAGAATAATTGTTAAAATAAAAATTATTTTTATTTATGATAGAAATGGAATACAAAAAGTTAACAACAACAAGAACAACAAGAACAACAACAACAACAACAACAACAACAACAACAACAACAACAACAACAACAACAACAACAACAATAATAATAATAATAATAATAATAAGTGTTATTATAATAATAAGTTTAGTTTTAATCATATTGTTACTTTTGTTAATTTTCAATTTATATCTTAACTACGAAGTATCTAAAATTCAATTAATTAATATGAAGAAAAAATTTTCACGTACTTACTTCTAGTACAATTAAAAATCATTTGACAAGGTACAAATTAAATTATCATTACATAACTATACCAACTTTGCATTCTTATGAAGGAGACATATTTGCATATTTGTATTAAGCGTTTCGTATTTATACTCTGTTCAAACAGCTTTTGTATTATTATTTAAACACTAATCTTAAGCTAGCTAAATTCCCATTGTATAACATTTTGGTGAGTGGTGACGATGAAAACCAATACATGTTATACATTTGTGGTTCAACTGTAATATTGAAAAGACAACCGGTACCAGTGGTAACCAATTAATGATGATCATCATCATGTATGAATTATGTAAGTCCGCAAATAACCATTCAATAATATTTATAAAAATTCACGGGTAAATTTTTATTTTTTTTGAAAAGATAAAAATTAAATAACACAGAGAAATTACAAATATAGCATTCTAACCAACCAGGTAGATATCTCCACCAACTTCTATCAGCACCAAAAAACTTAGCCCTTTAAACCACCGATGGGCTGTTACAGTAATAGTTCGGCTTTATTAATCAAAGCTATTCTGATATCATGTCTTTTCCGGCAGTATAAAAAGAAAACAAATTTACGTATTTATAATCTTGGAAACATTTAAAACCATACTAGAGTCAAGGGTGTATGGGCAAATAGAAGGAAACCATTTTCATCATTAAAACGTGGTTTTATTTTTATTCCTTTATTAAATTATTTTTCATTGGTGCAAATGCAAGCTATAAATGGAAATGCATGCCTGCAGCTTGCTACCTCCTTCCATTTTTGTGGCAATTATGAATTATCCAATATCGGATTAGTTACCAAAAAAAGAAAAAGGAAAAAAGAAATTCTTTACGGATTCGCCACATCGGCCTGACTTCTAGATCCCCACATGTACGGAACGACGTGCTGTATCGCGGTTGGACCATTGGGCCAGTTAGAAGTCGAACCCCACACGATTCGGACTCTTAGGATACCGATAACAGCACAGACCACAGAGTATCTGGAACTAAAGGGACGGCGGGATGCGCGCCTGCTTGCTGGGCCCCAAACTTCTCTATCTACGGTCACATGCGGTCCATGGTAAACGCTAAAGACACGAATGACGGATTACCAACCGTTCGATTGTTATCAATCAACCCATCGGATTCCAATCGTGGATGTCAGTAAGCCTTTTAGCAGCTTACCTGTATTTTCAAGTGAGCATCAGCCGTGCATCATCAAATGGGACCCGCGACACAAAACAAGACAACCAGGATGACCCAACAACTACCTTGTTTAGTTAAAACTAAAAGGCTTAACCGTAAAAACCTAACTTAATCACACTGAGGTTATTTTGGTAAATTCGGTGGCATTTCATACCAATCCGTTTAGCTAACCGTGGTTAAGATAACCAGGGTCTCAGGTTATATCCTGTTAGTACGGGACCGGACGTTCGAGCAGCTGCTGAGGAGAAAGCGTCGGTGGGGGTTAACCGTGGTTAATAAGCCGCAGTTAGAAATTCGAGAGCGAGAATCGCTTCATTTATAAGAAGTCGATGCCAAATCCAGAATTCTTGAAGCCACGGCGGAAGAGAGAGAAAGAGAAAGAGAGAGGAGAGAACATTGAGAGAGAGGGAGAGAGAAGGTTTCGGCTTTCAGACATTAGAGAACCGCGGCCATGGCAGATTCCAGCGGTTCAGTTTCCGTTGATATGGAGATGATTTCTCTCGGTGGAAAGGTTAGGTTCTTCCCTGACCAGAGAGGGGGATAAAGATGTAGAGCTTCATTTCTTTTTTGTTTTGATATGTATTTTTTTAATGCGCGTTCTATTGAATCGTTTGGTTCGATTTTTGCGGAAGCATTCAAGTTTCGGTTGGCGAAAAAGCAGATCTTGCGGCTTTTTATTATTCTAGTTTGATTATTTATTGCCAATTTTCAATATCCAAGCTTCGCGCTTTGGATTCTCTTTTGGAGAAAGAAGTTTTCTCTTCTTCTTCTTCCTCTTCATCTTCTTCTTTTTTTTTTTTTGGTTTATGAATTTAGATTGTGTATACGTTATTTGAGAATGGAGGTTTGAATATATCACAATTTTTTATTTAGGGATTCTTTAATGGATTTTGCCCTTGCACTCGTCTTTCTATTCGTTTTTGTATCTTTTGTTTTTTGCCAATTCTGGTTTGGCTTTGGAAGGTTTTGCTAAGTAATGGAGGTGGTTATGAATCTTAGTATTGCTGTTCTAATTCCTTTTAACTTTTATTTCTCGTTGCCAGCGCAATGGTCTAAAGCCTTTTGGCATTGTTGGGGAAATATTCCAAGTTTTAATTGTTTTTGATGCTATGAATATCTATATTAATGATTTCTGTGAATCTCAAAATTTCTTCTTTAAGCCATTGTTTTACAATTCTATGACCATCATGGACTTTAGAGCCAGTATCAGAGGCTATAACATATTTGCGGCTTCTTTTGTTTGCTTCTTTATTAGAATGTGTAATTTGGAATGGAGGGAGAGTTGGCCCCAAGTCTTCTAACTGATTAGGTTATATAATTCTTCACTGCTTTTCGTCCCCTCCCACCCAATTGGTTGGAAGAGGTCACTGTCTTTTTAATTGTTAAATTGTTAGAGTTTTACTCCTTCCTCCAGGGGATTCTTCCTAAATTCCTTGTCTTGTTTCTATCCAGATTCCTTACTTAAATAACACGCTATTCCTATGAGTCAGGGGAATTAAAGTTTTTCTATCAGTTCTTATCGAGTAAACAGTGTTTTGTTAATTCTCTAACACCATTGTGATTCCATCATTATCTCCTTTCCTTTGTTTTGATTCTTTTGCTTATTTCTCCACTATTTCCCCATTCTTTTTTCATCTGATTTTAATTTTTATTGATTCTTGAAAGGAGTTTGAAATATGCTGGCAAGCAGCATACATGTCAATGTTTGTTTTCCTTCATAATGGGATATTTGTTGTTTCCCTTTTAAACTGCTCTTTACAGCTTGCTGAATGATTAGAATGATCGGAATCAGTAAACTTTTATTTACCGTTATAGGCACTGCAAAGTAGGTATGCTTATAAGGTATCCATGCCTAAGGGAATAAAGGGCACTTCAACCTTTCAGTCAGTTTTACCTTCATGTTAAAGGGGATTAGTTACCATGTGTCACAAATCTTTGACAATTTTCCATATAAATCTAAAATATTTTGCTTGCAGATTGATATGCATTCTTCACTCTCTCAGATGCACAGACACACAATAAACCTTTGAAGTATTAAATATTATTTACTTACATTTATGCTTTGTATAATCTGTTCCAGGAACATCTTATACAAACTGGCCGTGGTTCCATTTCTGTTGCTGTGTTTGGAGATCAGGACAAGCCAGCACTTGTTACTTACCCTGATTTAGCTCTAAATCGTAAGTGCAATAGTTTAAGATGGAGCTAAGATGATCCTTGTTTCATTGTAGGAACCTCCTTGGCCCCTTGGAAAGGTTTAACAAGAGCTTACTTTAAATGTTGTGGTTCTTGTAGTTTACACAGATCCTGTTCTGTATTAGAATCATCTCCATCCTAAATAATTTTGGCTATCTCCTCCTAGCAGTGTTGCATGGACATGGACATGGCAGTTGGAATCCTATGCGGCTATGCATGTCCAAGAGTTTGACTCAGCAAGATGAGAAAACTTGAACTCATAGACATGTTGATGTAAAAGCATATCTATTAAAATAGTTCATAACTTTAGAATCCTAACATTCTATACCAACAAAAAAGGGACCTAAGATGTTGATTTTTTCACCAAGTAACATTTGATTACTGAAAATGACATTCATCTTGTACATTAGCTGTTCATTTATGCCAAATAATCCAGGAGATAAAAAGGGGTTGTTATGAAGTGTTCTTAAGAACCTGTGGAGTGGCAGACTCAGACTCATGCCCAACACGGACATGTCATCTGTCCATGCAAAACGACCTCCCATAAACTTGGGACATTAGTAGTTACTTCCTGAAAATACAAAAGTAGATAACAAAAAAACTTACAGGTAGGCCTCATGGGTGAAACATAAACAGAATGAATGTCTAATTGTTTTGTTGCCTTAATTCAATGGTTTATACATTGAAGAGGGTTTAAAATTTCAGTGTCAGTGGAAATAATGGTCATCCAAGAATACGTGTCAGGAATGTAAAAAATGTTATATGGATTTGTAAGGTTATAGACATGGTGGAAATATATACTGATATTTTGTGATGTGAAAAAGGAAGTATAGGTACACCTTTTTGGATTATCAATATGCTGCGGAGTTGCCTTCTAGACTTATAGAGTTAAACTACATAATAACAGTAAGTTTAGCATCGTTTCAAATGATTCTAACAGATCAACAAAATAATCTATTTAAACAAACAAAAAGCTAAAATTTAGCATCATTTCAAATAGAATTTCAGGCTAGCTCAAGGTGGTCATCATGTACTCCACATAGTGCTAGTAGTTTTCACTGGGGAATATACTGATTTCAGTAATATTTTTTTGGTTGGTACCCATGGAAATGGAAAGATAGGAACAAGGTTCAAATATCGCATGTACTGGTTTTTTAATCCACCGAAACACCATATACAGGGAGTTAGGGGATTTCTTTATAGTTAAACATTAGAACCCCACCTAGGCTAAAAAAATGAGTTCTGGCCATTTGAATCATATGAAATGCAAAAAATGTCTGTCGTGGGTGTCAATATTTTGAAACTTGATTCGGAAATAAGTTGACATTTTAGACAAAGACTTTGAATTTGACAAAGTGTTTCTGTCACCAATTTGAGGACTTTCTGCTGTGCTAGTGAAGCCACTTATAATCTGAAGTGTTTCTGTTTAAAGTTGATTGAACTTCTCTAGTGAAATATTATACATGCTTAGCTAATTTAATTTTCTCTTACTTTTAATGTGTTTGGGCAGATATGTCCTGTTTCCAAGGATTGTTCTTTTGTCCAGAAGCTGCTTCTTTGCTACTTCATAACTTCTGCATTTATCATATTAGTCCTCCCGGGCATGAGGTCGGTAACTTGGTGCACTTGATAAAGGATCTTGTTTTCATTGTTGATTTTGTTTTATCTTGTTTTCTTTTCTTTTAAGTTTGACTAAAAGATGCATATCTTCTTGAATGCTATTATTTACATGGTTTTACTCTTGTGCTTTCCTCAAGAGTTCTTGCAGTTGGGAGCTGCTGCAATTTCTCCTGATATCCCTGTGCCTTCTGTTGATGACCTAGCAGATCAGGTTGCGGAGGTTCTTGACTACTTTGGGTAATCTCAGTGCTCTAGTTGCTCTGTTTATCTATTTACTCTAGTTTTTTTATTGATCTCTGTTGTCTCATTCATACCAATGATTCTTTGGCAATAGTCACTTGTCTTACATCAGGATTAAGACATTCTGTTTAATACATGCATGTAGTAAGAAAAAGGAAAAGTGAAACAGAGCAAGGAGTTAATTCTGATCACTTGGCTGCAATTCTCTTTTCAGGCTTGGTGCAGTGATGTGTATGGGGGTGACAGCGGGTGCTTACATCCTTACCCTATTTGCTGTATGCAATCTTTGTAGAGCAGCTTGTGTGTGTATTTTGGATAGCTTTATTATTTATGGGTTTTTATTGATATGGTGTTTTTACCACTTCTGTTACAGATGAAATACAGGGAGCGGGTAATTGGTTTGATACTTGTTTCTCCTCTATGTAAAGCTCCTTCGTGGACTGAGTGGTTGTATAATAAGGTTCCCTCTCTCTTTCTCTCTCACATCAGCCCTTGTGGTGAAACATTACTAAACTGATCTGTTTATGAGACTAGTCTTATATTTAAAATGGCTACTTACTTGCAGGTGATGTCAAATTTGCTCTATTTTTATGGGATGTGTGGTATGTTGAAGGAAATCTTGCTTCAGCGTTACTTTGGCCCGGTATTTAGTGCTTTGTAATTACATTTGATGCCTTATTCATGTTCATCATTTCTGTATGCTGATATATTTGCTAATGTTTTACCAGGAAGTTCGTGGTGATGCACAAGTCCCGGAATCAGATATTGTACAGGCATGCAGAAGAGTGGGTACCCAACACTTGTTTTTTATTCTTCCACTCTTTAGTGTGGATATGCCCCTGCTGCTGCTATTTTAATATTTGGGTAGTCAAGGGATGAGCGTTTGTTTGATTCGTAAGTTTGTGTTTTGTTGCTACAGTTGCTGGATGAAAGGCAGAGCACAAATGTTTTACGGTTTCTTCAGGCCATTAGTGGGTAAAACTTCCTCCTTAAAGTCTGTTTCTTATTATGATGTGATTGTTTTGGAATTAGCTGCTGCTTGAAGAGCTGTACAAGTATCTGATATTTCCATATGGCAGGAGATATGACCTCACTGAAGGATTGAAGAAACTACATTGCCGGACGCTAGTATTTGTTGGTGACAACTCTCCTTTCTACTTGGAAGCCATCCACATGAGCTCAAAACTTGACAGGAGATACAGTGCCTTGGTTGAGGTATATATTTACATCTTTTATATCATGTGAGCAATGTGATTCATTAGTTGGTTAGAAATCAAATCAAGAGATGAAAGCATATAGGTAGGAAATGCTTGATCGTGCAAAGATGCAATATTTTGCCTAATGAAGAAGCTGGTTGCATTGTGGGGGGTGGTAACAGGTTCAGGTTTGTGGATCGATGGTGACAGAGGAGCAGCCTCACGCAATGTTGATACCCATGGAGTACTTTCTAATGGGATATGGGTTGTACAGGCCATGCCATCTGAGTAACAGCCCGAGGAGCCCGTTGAGCCCGTCATGCATTTCTCCGGAGCTGCTTTCACCAGAGAGCATGGGCTTGAAGCTAAAGCCGATAAAGACACGGGTTTCTTTGCAAGTTTGAGAGCAGCAGCAGAAAGGAAAACCCCTGTTGTATATTTTCTATTCATTGGTGGTAGTGGCGGATCATTAGTCATGCGGAAGAATTGTTGGGGGATTGTAGATAGCCGAGTGAAGTGATAGAAGGAAGGGGGAAAAAAAAAGGAATACATACATATTTATTTTTTATTTTTATAGTGAGAGACAGAGAGAGTGGAGTTGAATTCATTCATTTGTAACTAGTCATAAGCCATTTTGAACTGAGCAGAGCTGTTCTGTCTGTAAATCCTCACAAACAAATTATTTATGAATTATGATGTTGACGAGCAATTATAATAAATGTGGTGGAATTAGCCTCTTTTGGCTCTCAAGAAAATGTTGCGGTGGTTGCCTCAAGAAGCAGCTTGCGTTATGTGGTATATAATTACTAGTTATTGTGTGTGATTTCATGGATTTGGTCAAAAGGGTCTCTTTGATTTCACGTGTTGACAAAAAAATTTTGAATTTAATCCACACAATTTGTCCTAACAACTTTCTCACAACACATTAGGCAGTGTTTGGTTTGAAGGAAAAAGTAGGAAAAGGTCCCTTCCTTTTCCTACCTTTTCCTTCATTCTCCTTTAAACCAAATATAGCCTTAAGTGTCATGCATTTGGCAACGAGGGTGCTTTGTTCTATATACATTTATTCAGTAAACGTTTATTGATGGTGCCACATAGGTGTCATTTCAGTATTTTCTCTCTCTGAAAAAAGTAAACTTTAATTTTTATGCATGCCACCCTTTTGTGGAAGTTATTTTTTAAAGCTTTCACAAACCGCTAGATGTTTTTTTATTATTATGCTGATGTGGAGCATGGTGGCACCTAATGGTCAGAACTTTGAAAGCCAAATAGTTCCTAAGTATACATTTCTTAAAAGCCAAGAGTAGGAGGAGTGGGCAATCTTGGGGTTGGAAGTGTGTCTTGGAGGGGAGAAAAGTGATTGAGAGGTTTAGTTTGGAAAATTAATAGGGGTGATAATATCTTAGTTTGGATGACCCTTGGATCCCAAGTTTAGAAGACCTCAGACCTGTTGGATTGAGACCAGAACCTGGTAGACTTGTTTTTGTGTCTGAACTGTTAAATCAGAACCCATGGAGTTGGGATGTTGAGAAGCTCAACTCAATCTTTCCCCCCTTCTACAATTGAAAAAATCAAAGAAATAGATTCATCAAAAAACTTGTGTGGGAAGATAGAGTAGTGTGGACCCAAAATGAAAAAGGCATTTTTTTTTTTCAGTTAAATTAGCATATAAAGTTACGTATGATAGTCTAGTGAAGACTGATAATGCAAAGCCTGCACCAAGGTTCCTCATGAAGGATGGAAAGTTCTCTGGCATATCCCAGTGGAGCCAAAAATATTTAATTTCTTGTGGAAGTGCTGTTTGAGTAATATAGCAGTGAGGGAAAACCTTTTCATTAGAAAAATATCTCTCCCATCTGTGAAAGATGTGATTCTAGCAATGAATCCGTTCTTCATGCTTTGGTTTACTGTGATAAGGTTAGGTGCATATGGTTAGGAGTAGGATCTGGTATTAATTTGAATCATCTCATCCATATTGATTGTTTTGATAATTGGTTTATGTTTCTTGTTAAGGAGTTTGGTGGAAAAAATGCAGATATTTTAGCCAATTGTGCTAACTGTTTATGGGAAATCTGGAAGGATCAAAATGATTTTTTTTTTTTTTTGTTTTTTGAGAAAGATTGCTTCCATTCGCAGATATATAGTGGAGAGATCTCAGACCTTGTCCCTGAGATCAGAAAACTCTATAGGCTGCACTAAAGCAAATGTGGATGGTGGTTTTATCAATTCGAATAAAGCTTCTTTTGGATTTGTGTTCAGAGATCATGAAGGAATCTGCCTTCTAGACAAGTCTGGTCCAGTGAAAGCAGCCTCTTCCTTATTTGCTGGAGCTAAAGCCCTATTAGATGCTCTAAAAACAGCTAATTCCTTGAATCTGGATTCGGTTATTTACTTATTTTTGAAACAGGAGTGTAAGGTGTTAATTGAAAAGGTGACTGCTAATGATTTTAATAGTCATCGTGACTTGCTGCTGAGTCGGGGAAATCTTTTGACTTCAGTTTGCTGTGACCTGTCCAGTTTAAAGTCTTATTTAGTGTAGTAGTTGTGTCTTTTCTTTGTTATTTTTTTTTTCCCTCTTTTCTCTCAATGTTCTTAGGCTCTTTGTTTGTTTGTTTTTGTTTTTGTTTCTTTTTTTTTTTTTTTTTTTTTTTTTTATGGTTTGATTAATCAAAACCCTCGGATGGTTACCACTTTTATGATATCGGACTCTTTTACGAAGTCGTGACAACAAGTAGGAACCAGTTGACATACGAACTGAGCCAGATGTGCAGCAGTTTTATAAAACTGTGTTTGGTTTGAAGAAAAAAGTAGAGAAAGAAAAGAAAAGGTACAAAACTTATATTGGGTTTCTCTACCTTTTTCTACAAACCAAACAAAGCGTAAAGGAGCTTACGAGCTTTTTTTTGTTTAAGTTTTAAAAACATTATTCGCCGTTGCCGGGGATCGAACCCGGGTCACCCGCGTGACAGGCGGGAATACTCACCACTATACTACAACGACATCTGATCAGAGTTGCCCAACTACAATTTAATATTTTAACTCTACAAATTCCTCCCCCAACATTTAAGACAATAATACCCTCTAACTTTTGATTATTTATTTAATAAATTTTCTATTTTTGTTATTTTAGAAAAACTATAAGCCTGGTGGGGGATTTGTAAGCAAAGAACATCGATGAAAAGGGTATAGTTTGGAAAAAACCCGGAATGAAAACTTTTGCAATTTTTAAACCGATAAGAGCACACAGGAACATCTCCAAAATCTGGGCCGTTCTTGAGAATAAAATTCCATTTTTACTAATTTCAATTCCCACTTTAATTCCTCTCTAAACCAAACAAACTATAGAAACACACGATTCCATTCCAATTCTGATTCTGAGGAATAAAGAGACCTAAAATCAACGTCTCCAGAATTTATTCGGAAGAATTATATATATTCTCTAGTTAACTTTTGACTGTTGGGGGCATTTTTAGATTGAACATGTAGACCTGGCAATCGGGTTGGGTGGGTCGGGTTTAGGTTGGGTTAAGGTATTTCGGGTTAATTTCAGGTCGGGTCGTCAAATGCTAGACCCTAACCCTAAATGTTTGGGTTAGGGTTGACTCATGGGTCAATTCGAGTCATCCAAAAAATAATTTAAATTTAAAAAAATAAAGAAAAATTATATAAAAAATGTCAAAATTAAAAGAGTCAACCTTAAAATTCTAAATATAAAATAAAAACTTGAACATTTAATAATTTAAAGAGTAAACAATAAAAAATAAAGACAAAATAATAAAAATTAAAGAGTGAAAACTTCTAACAATACATAAATAATCTCAATTAGACTTGACAATCGGGTCAGCAGGTTGACCCATGACCCAACCCAACCCAGTTTTTTCGGATTGGGTTGGGTCGAGTTCACAGGTTGGGTCAACTTTTTGCTAATGTCAATGAACATGTTCACCAATTCACGGTCATATTTATGTTTATGGTTAAGAAGGCTAATTACTATTTTACCCCACTCTATTGTAACGTGACATTCCCAAAACTGTTCTCAAACACACGTAGACGATGAAATGATGTAAGGAAAGCGAACAAAATAAATAGATCGTTGACAGTGAAGCGTAGGCTTCCTTACATCGGGAAAAAAAAGTATTACGAGGGTTAAAAAATTATAATAGCGCCGTTGCCGGGGATCGAACCCGGGTCACACGCGTGACAGGCGGGAATACTCACCACTATACTACAACGACAATCGTTTTCTTTAATAATTTTTATTCCCTTTGACGAATAATGACACGCTATAGTGGCTTCTCGTTCAAACCATCAATACCCCAAAATTTTATTTCTTTTATTTTGCTATATCTTCTCCCACGTGCCACGTAGCTAATATATACTGTCACGAGACGGTCCAATCAGAGCAGCAGGGCGTTTAAAATAAGAATATCTGATTCCAAAACTGAGAATTTTATTCGACCGTAAGTGTCCAGATGGCAAGTCATATATATACTGCTTATGCAAAAAAAAAAATAAATAAGCGTGACAAGTGTCCAATGGAGCAGAGACCGATTATTATTGGACCGTAAAAAAGTTGAATATTACGGTGGTCGTCATACTCCCCGTCCCCACTCCACACCACTCATTTATCTCCTCTTAACGTGTGCCCTAAAGAAACAAGGAATCCAGTTCATCATTTATCTCCGGCCCACGGGCCCACGTTTCCTTGTATTAGTAAGTCCGGTCCGGTAGTCCAGGTTTTCCTTGTTGTTGGGTTCAAAGAAGGTTGGCAGTTCCGTGTGGCCTACTGGGCCTACAGGCCCAAAACTGGTTTGAGCAGACAATCAGATTCCTAAACTAAGTGGAAGCGGACTTTGAAAAGCATTCAGGGATCGATTAACTACTTAATTAAATAAATAGTAGCGCCAACACCTATTATAATCCAATAATCCCCAATATCCCTGCCTAAGTGCCTATTCGCCATGCATGAATCCACTATCACCAGAACACTCTCCGAATATTCTATGACCATCTCTCTCTCTCCTCACCGTTGGATCAAATTCCCTCTTGCACTTATTAATCGCACCTATTCTTATATTTATTCCCTTCCTCCACTGCAACAGAACATCGTGAATATCCCCCTCATCCAATTGGTCGTTCTCATGCATTGATGGGCCCCCAATCCATAAGCTGCTGGCCCATCTTATGGGGGACCAACCAACACACCCATTACATTAGGATTTAGTTTAGGAACATCACTACGTTCCAGCATCTCACGTCAAATCAGAGTCACGCATGCTTTGGATATTCCAGCAAATGCGGGTTAAAAGGTACCCGACCCAACCCATTATTCTTATTCTCTCAGCGAATATTCCTCGTATTCCGGGGTTTCTGTCAAAGAAGGAGAACCGGAGAAGGATATACCAAAGCAGTCCTGATCCTAGTAGAAGTTGTACTTGGAGCTGTCAGCCGTTAGATTAAAGAAAGCTGAACTTTATCTCACTCTATCAGGTCAATGGTCTCGACATCCGACGGATATGATTACGTGATTCCATTGAAAGAAACTATGGCGGTGTTTGGCTGGTTCCTTGAAAATCTAGAATTTGGTAATTTGTGGGTAGAGCGTGATTAGGTTGGAAACCAAAAGGGAAGCCACTACCCACTAACACGTAATATTCCTTGGCATCCAAGATCTCTCCTGGGTCCGTCCCGCCATTTTCACCCGCTGTTGCTTCTCGAACACATGCCTTTTGTGCTATAAATAACTCCATCCCTCCTTCTCTCGTTGCCTGCAACCAAAATTCGAAGTTCGAACCATCTTTTGCTTTCTTTGGCACACTGACGAGCACTTTCTCGACGCCGGAAAAGGAGTTTCGGGTCTCGGAAATGGCAGGGATCGTGGTGATTTTCGACTTCGACAAGACGATTATCGATTACGATAGCGATAATTGGGTGGTTGACGAGATGGGTGCCACCCAGTTGTTCGATGAACTCTTGCCGACCATGCCTTGGAACCCTCTAATGGTTAGTTAGTCTTTTTCTTTGGACTTTTCTTACTACCCCTGTTCTCAGCTTTTCGTCGAACGACTGATGGGGTTTTGGTTATTTTGATACTGAGAGCAAGAGAGATTAAATTGTTCTTGGTCTGTGAACCTTTGCAGGATAGGATGATGAGAGAGCTTCATTCACGGGGGAAGACAATCGAAGACATCGTAGAGTGCCTGAAACGGGCTCCATTGCATCCCCGGATCATCACAGCCATTAAATCAGCCCATGCACTGGGGTAAATTCTTATTTCCCTCCCTTTCTTTTTTCTTCATCTTTTTCTTCCTTTTTCCCATTAAAATGTTTTCAAAAAAATACTGAAGCCTGTGTTTTTTATGTTTAAAATTTCAGGTGTGAATTGAGGATTGTGAGCGATGCAAATATATTCTTCATCGAGACCATCTTGAAGCATCATGGGCTTATGGATTATTTCACAGAGATTAACACCAACCCAAGCTATGTTGATGAAGAGGGAAAGCTCAGAATCTTCCCTTACCATGATCTCACCTCGTCTCCTCATTCTTCTTGCCCTCCCAACATGTGCAAAGTAATTCTTTTTTTAAACGTTTTTTTTTTTTTTTTAATTAATGGGCATGAGTTTCTAGACTCTCTAGTGAGTAGTGAGACCCAAACATACGGGAACATGTTTTAAAAATTCTACTGACTTTTTGGTATGGGCCAAGGGTCCCACTTGGCCCACTCTGTCAGGCCCACATCCAGCTTTTATCCCCCTTCAAATTCTCAAAATTTGGGTGATTTCTGTAATTTCGGTTAAAACAATCTTAACGTTATTTCCAATTCCATCAGGGTCTGGTGATTGAAAGGATACAAGAAACTCTAGCTGCTGAGGGGAAGAAAAGATTCATCTACCTTGGAGATGGGAAGGGTGATTTCTGCCCAACCCTGAAGCTCCGTGAAGGCGACTATGTGATGCCCAGGAAGAACTTTCCACTGTGGGAGCTGATTTCTAGCAACCCATTACTAGTCAAGGCAGAGATTCATGAATGGAGTGATGGGGAGGATCTTGAAAGGGTTTTACTGCAACTCATCAACAATATCCTTGACCAAGAAGAAGCTCAGATGATTCCTGTGGATTACAAGTTCCACACGATTCCCATCTCTACCCATGAACCCCTCCCCAAAGCTCTCCCTGTTCCTAATTAGTATGGTAGCTGCCCAACAACTTAATCAAATGTTGGGCTTCTGATTTTCCCTTGTTTCTTTCCGAAACCTTGGCCGGTAACAACCGGTAAATCTATGTGTTTTTGATGTGTACTACGCCAATGAAACGCAAAGGCAATGGGCATACAGATTGTACTTCAGTTTCTTTGGAAACTTCGTGCTTATTCCTCTGCAAAATTTCTTTGTTTCTTTCTCCTGGGTTTTGGATATTTCGGTGGGTGATGAATCCGTCGTCGTAAAGACAGGTATTTCATTGCAAATTTTGTAGCCTTTACTGGCCATCCATGCAGACTAAGTTCTTTTTCTGTGGGACAGCACCATGCAAACAGAGTTTGTAATTTGACCACTAGAAAACTACAGACAACACTGATAAGACTACACAGTTTGAACAGGTTTGCTTAGGACGATGTTTCTGCCATCTATCATTCCTTAAATTTTCTGGTTACGTGGAGATCCATGGGTGCATGATTGAAGTTCACTAAACGATGTGTTGTAGCATTTACCTGTCCCACATGTGGTAGTGCTTTCCATAATCCATATATCCTTTTTTTTTTTTAATTTTAACCATGAATAGTTATAATATTTCTTGGCATTCGAATCTATCAAAGTGGGTATATTCCTTTCTTTTTCCTATCTCAACCCTGTTTCCACTTTCATTTGATTTGGTCCAACCTTACATCATAGATGTATCATACTATCATTATCGACAGTTTGTGCTAGTTATTGCCCTCGTTTGTTTGATCAATTGACAATTTGTACTGATGTAAATTACACCCACCGACCCTGTACTAAACTACTAATGGGTATTAGCCTTCCAACTTTATACAAAAGAAGCAAACATTGAATCAGTCCAGGTTCAGCCTAGGGTCAGAATTTTTAGGCTCAAAGTATAACTGAATTGATTCTAATTTTTGGGCAAGTATTGATTTATAAGGTGGGGATATTTAACATTTTGAATCTTTATAAGTTTGTAATAAAACTCGGAAATCTGCAATGGGCTGTCTGTATTTTTCCAAAAAAAAAACATGAAACAAATTCTAAGACTGTGTGGTTGCAATGTAATTTTATTTGTAGGGAAAATTTATGATATGGAAAAGATATGGTATAGAAAAAGTTTTGACCAATCAAAATCCATCCATGAATTTTGATAAATCACACCATGTTCCTAATCACGTTTAAGATTTTATGTTATTGGTCAGTTGTTTTTCAGTTATCATATCTTTTCCATATCATAGTCGAACCCTTGTTTGTATTAGTACAAATGCATGGGAATGCAAATGAAAAAAACACAAATTCTTATTTAATTTTGTTATGGGTTTTGCTTTATTCTACTTCAGGTTTTGATTTACTTCATTTGTACTGTGATCAAATAAAATAAATTAAAATTTAAAATAAAAATAGATCGAAATTTACACTCAAATAATTTGTATTACCATAATTTTGGATCAGTGCAAATTTATTTGTCTTGCAACCAAACACAGCGTTCATGGGGTTAGAACTTATAAAGCATGCAAAATTTATCATGGCCCGCTGAGGTAGGGTAACATGACCCGAACCCAACTCGGGTGAAGAATCTAAACCCTAACCTGACTCTACACGGGAGTAAGCTCGACCCTAACCTGACTCTACACTCGCAAACTGAAATTTGACATATTTGGATGAAGTGAAAATTGAAATTCATGCAACTTTAGACTTGGCAAAGTCTAAGCCTGTTTCAGCCTGATTGACCAATCCAAGCTAAGGTCTGGGTTCGGGCTTGGGCTTGGCTTGGGCCTTAGGTCCAATATTTAGGATTGGATCTGGGTTGACCTTAAACCCAGCCCATCCTGCTTAACTTGTTATAAATATGTAGAATGCAAAATCTTATATTTTTTGTTATTTTGTACGTATTTATACTATACCATATTTGTATTTATTCTACCATAGCAATAGATGAAACGATGATGAGATGATACCAAGCAAAAGTTGTTTTTTTTTTGGAAAAAGATTCTTTCAAAGAAGGAAAAGAATACATTGAAGACAAGGACAAGAAACAAAAAGACACCACAACACTAACCTACCTCAACCTTACTAACAGTCCTATTATCTTCCAAATACTTTGATAACCAGTTAGCCATCAAGGAGGAACGCCCTCAAAAGCACAAAAATAAAATAAAATAAAATAAAAATATAAAAAGAAAGAATGCAAGAAATCAAAACCATATAATTAATTTCCAAGTCAAGATAAGTAGCCCTTCATGTCTAAACTCTAAAGCCTCCATTGCTATTATTAGCTTCAACAACCCCAAATCCAGAGGATTCCACCAAGCCGAATCATTTTGACTCAAGGTTGAACTGGTATCATGTAGCTGAAAGGTCATTTGCTGTTATACGATCCAATCTCTCTCTTTGAAGTTATTTAGGGCTCATTTGGTTTGTGGGAATACGGGGTTAGAATTGGAATTGAAATGGGCTGTTCTGATTCTAAATATTTGGTTGGATAGAATTGGAATCTCATTCTCATTTTAGGTGGAATGATATTTTTCTATTTGTGAGAATGGCCATTCCCCCCTCACTCGGGGAATAAAATCCCATTACAGCTGATTCCAATATTCATTCTATTCTTATTTGAATCAAATAGACTATGGGAATAGATCATTCTTATTTCGTTTTCAAAGAATTTTTATTCTGATTTTAATTCTAACTGTGAACTAAATAGACTCTTAGAGATTTTGCATTCACCTCCCTTTCAAGAAACCATTCAATCTAAAAGCCTAAACTGTTTAGGTGATGTTTATTTTTTATTCTCTAACATTGTCAATGCTATTCCCATGAAGCGAAAAAAAAAACATTGTCAATGTTATTTAATATATTCTTCACATGAGGTTGAGTATCATGAAAAATTTTGTAATCAAACATGCCATAAAATATAAAGAAACAAAATAAAATATAATAAATTTCCATTAAAAGAAAATTTATTATACTAACAAACCAACCAACAAAATTATATCGTTTTTTTCAATCTTGGGTGGAAACGACCACACAATCCCTTTCATGCTGATTGTACTTTTTTTTGGATTCTATCTGACCAGAGTGAATGAATGGGAAATACAGTATGAACTCATCGGAAATTTGAGGCGAGTTTGGAAGTAGAGGATTTGAAGTATGAGACTCCAAAGTACAGGTCGTTGTTATCCCTGTTCAAGGTCTAATCTTTTTTGAGAGAATGACCCAGGGTTAGAATTTTTAGGCCCAGGGTCAAAATTTTTAAGCTCAAACTACAGTTGGGTTGGTGTCAGATCGGAATTAATGTTAATTTACGGGCAGCCATTTTGGTATGTAAATGGGGTTTTTAGATAAGCATTGGGTGTAGATTAGAGGTTTTTGAACTTTTGAATGTTTATAGATATGTTGTGAAAATGAAAGATTTGCATTGGACTTGTCCGTATTTTTTCGATCTTTTTCTTCTCTCCTGCTCTTGCGCCAAAGATCAGAATCTCCCGAAAACTTGCAGTCAATACTTTCTTCTCAAAATGTCAATTTCCCTCAAAGTTAGAACAGAAAAAAACAAAACATGTAAGGATGGAGAGCAGAGAGAGAACAATTTGTATACGTAGATGCAGAGACAACATCTCAAACGTTTCAATTCTTGCCTCTCACTTCTTCTTCTTCTTTTTTCCCTCCTCCTGCAAGCTCTCTGTAGCTATCCATAAGAAGGGGCTCTCAGAGCTCCTTCTCTCTCGCTCTTGAGCTTTCTCTCATGGCGATGGAAGGAGGTGAGCGAGAAGGAGGTCAGATCTTGGACGGAGTTATAGACGCCATGCCCGTCTTTGCAAAGGAACTTGTAGCTGGAGGTGTTGCTGGTGGGTTCGCAAAGACGGCTGTGGCCCCGCTTGAGCGTGTCAAGATTTTGTTCCAGGTATGGTTGGACCTCCACACCTTCTAATTATCGGCGTTCTTCAGAATATATTTCCGTAGAGAAAATTCTCGAGATATGCTTGTTTGGGTTTCTTTTACTAGTCATTTTCTGTAATCTATGAAGGTTTGTTATAGAAATTGTTGTGGGTGATTCTTGTTGCGGATGATTGTTCTTAATTCTGAAATATCGGTTGAGTACTAGCAGACAAAATTATTGATGGTCTGATGTTGGGAAGGGTTTTAATTGTATCTTCCTTTTATTTTGTCTTTCTTTTTTCCCTTTTATTTCATTTTTCACAATTAACTATTCGTACACTATTGTTAAAAATTATGACGATTACATTGATTTCTTCTGTGAATTCAACTTCTTATTACTTTTTTTCCTGGTTCCTGCAATGGGCTCTAGATTTTATTTTTTATTTATTTTTGATGTATCTGAGTACTTTACGCCTCTTCAAGTTTTTCTGGGATTTCCCAATAATGGTTTCATCTGGAGTTACTGGTGAAATTGCAATCACGGAGTGGTTGCTTATGCTGAGCGGATGTTGCAGGGGCTAGTGTGGTTGGACCGAGGAAGCGAAACGGATAGGTTTCTTAGATTTTCAAGAAATGGGTTTCCCCGTATCCAAAATTTCTTTATTACTTGGTAAACTCTGTTGACAGTCGACACAACTGACTTTTGTTTGAAACCCATCTTGAATTTTGAATTGATTTTCTTGGGGTAGTGACAGAGTTCAGAAACAAACGGGCTATTTGCTTGTAAAATGATTATATTTTTTAGAACATTGAGTTCTTCTAGAAAAAATTGACAAATTGATGGGCAAAGTTCTTAGTCATCTGGCAACTGTGTTTAGTTTCATAGTTCATTCCATAGATAATTATTTGTTGATCTTGCTTTCAAGTCAGATAGATTTTTACTGCAGTGTGATACCTAGGTTTACTCTTAATGCAACTTCATAAAGAATGATTCTTTTGCAAAATGAAAAACTGATGGTTGAACTTTTAAAGAGAAAGAATCTTGGATAGGATAGCTTCAAGAAATATTTTGCTATGTTTATCTTTTAGCTTAATCTTCTAGTGTCAAGATGCTAGTAAGTATATTTTAGAATGATCTTGTCATATATCTGGCATTTGTTTTTAGGTACTATATTAGATTTTGTTCAATGACAAGGCTTTGTAGTTTGTACTTCTAAGGAACATTAATCAGTGATTTTATCTATTGAAACTAATTAGAAAATGTAACTCCTTAGTATCGCTGTAAGAGGAACTAATCACAGTTTTGCAGACCAGAAGGGCAGAATTCCAGAGTATAGGCTTGTTGGGGTCCTTCGAAAAGATTATAAAGACAGAAGGAATATTAGGCTTTTACAGGTAGGAGTTTTTGCAAGAATATTCTTCAACATCCAAATTCATTCCTTTATCTTTAGTTTGACATGGTTTTGTCTTCATCTTCAAACATTTATTTAGTGTTTTCTTGTGATCTTTTTTCAGAGGAAATGGAGCTAGTGTTGCTAGGATTGTGCCTTATGCAGCTCTGCATTATATGGCTTATGAGCAATACCGCCGTTGGATTATACTCACTTTTCCTGGTGTTGGAAGAGGCTCCATTCTTGATCTTATAGCAGGGTCGTTGTCTGGAGGAACTGCTGTGCTTTTTACTTATCCTCTTGATTTAGTGAGGACCAAACTGGCTTATCAGGTGAAGAACTTAGAACTGGATTCTTTTTTATCATATTCTCAAATTTTATGATTGTCTCTTTCATAAGATAAATTTTATAGATTGAGTCATCCAAACAACGTGCTACTTCACAGCTGTCATCATTATCATCATTATCATCATTATCATCTAAGCTTTTGTTCCACTGGGGTCAGCTACATGAATCATGTTTCACCATTCCATTCTGTTTAGTGCCATATCCATAATTAAATTATGAGTGCTTAAATCATTTCTTAGTACTTCAATCCATGCCCTTTTTGGTCTGCCCCCTAGCCCTTCTAGTCCCATCAGTTTGCAAATGGGTGCTGTAGATAGTCTTCTATGCATGTGGCCAAACCATCTTAAATTCTACTTCATAGCTGTGATTTTCACAAAACAAAGAGCTAGTTTCTAGTCATGCTCTTCACATAAATGGCACTTGTTCATAGTGCAGGTTGTTCAATCATCCAGGTTAGGCATCAAGGGTATAAATCATGCTGAACAATTTTATAAAGGGATTTTAGATTGTTTCTCGAAGACCTATAGGGAAAGTGGATTGCGCGGACTCTATCGTGGTGTAGGTATGTACTGATTTAGATTCTGTTAGCCTTTGTCTTGTTGCTGTTATTGCATGTTTTCATGTTTTCACTCTTACCAATAATGGAGAATTTTTTGGCAGCTCCTTCACTCTACGGAATCTTCCCTTATTCTGGTTTGAAATTCTACTTCTATGAGGAGATCAAAAGTCATGTTCCTGAGGAACACAAAAAGGATGTCACGGTCAAACTTGTATGTGGATCCATTGCAGGTTTATTGGGTCAGACCTTCACTTACCCTCTTGATGTTGTAAGACGGCAAATGCAGGTAAGTGTTTAGATTCTAACATGAAATGTGCAATTCCTTCAAAAAAAAAAAAAATAGTAACAACCATATTTCCAGGTACAACGTCTCTCAGCATCTAACAGTGGAGAAGTGAAGGGAACAATGGAAACTCTCATCATGATTGGTCAGAATCAAGGTTGGAAGCAATTGTTTTCAGGGTTAAGTATCAACTACCTGAAGGTATAAAAATCTCAGTGTTTTAATTGAAAAATGTATTTGACCCATCCACACTACTACCAGAATGAGGTATTTAAGTGCTTTTACATTGTACCAGGTAGTACCATCTGTGGCAATTGGATTTACTGTCTATGATAGCATGAAGTTATGGCTGAGAGTTCCATCACGAGATAACACTGCTACTGGGTTAGTAACAGAAGGAAGAAATGCCCATAACTCGTCTCTCCACTCCTGACAATTATCCTATTCTTGGCCATAGCCATTGATGAGGTTTGCTTTGTAATCTGGACTACTCTTGTAGGTCCAATTTACTCTGTAACCTCCCACCACGTAAAAATCCCATTCTTTCCAAATAATTTGTTGATGAGGTTTTTCATAGCTCCTGTCAATTCCTGTGAGCCTGGCACTGCATTTCTGAGCTAGGATCACTAGAAGATTTTATCTTCCCTCTAGTGGTTCTGTTACGGCTGAGTTTGGAAAGAGTACAAATGAAAATATGTACTGTGCAAATACATACAAAATAATGCAAAATATAAGGTTTTGCACTCTACATATTTGCATTTGTACTCCTTCCAAACTAAGCCGTAGCTCCTAAACTGAACAAGCATAGTCTCCCTTTTCTGTGTCCAAAATAATTGCATAGTGTACATTTACATGTTTCCAATCAAATCTGTACTTCTAACCTGGTTTCTCTTTGCGTTGATGATTATGGTCTTGCAGAGGGTAGAACAAAATTGCTTTTGCTTTTACCACCTCTCCCCACAACTACCACCCTTGGTCATCTTTTTTTGCTTTTGCTGACTTGCTGTTACGACCCTGATAGCTTCTTGAGACGTGGGATGATATCCCAACGCCTAATGGCATTTACTTTTCAGCACTGCACCGTGTTATGCTTCTGAACTGTTGGCTTAGCAGCAATTTCCTAGTCATGTTCAGAAGCCTTTTCTTGTTGCGAGAGTTGTAGGTGATAATCCTGAACGCATAAGAGCATATAATACCTGAACCGAGGGAAAGAAGAGAATGCGAATGCCATTGTCCTTAATTCTAGAATGAGTTTTGCCTCTAAAATATATATTTTGAAATTGATAAGAAAAATGAGGGTGGGCCTTGGCGCGCGACTGGGGATGATCAGGGTTCAAATCTTGATAACGGTCTCCCTGTATGTGCCGGGGGTAAGGTTGTGTCTTGTGCACTGGGATGCCCTTTTACCAGAAAAATCTATGATGTTGTAGAGATATGATACCGGAAAGACATTGACCAATCAAAAACCCCATGAATGAATTAATGTAAATCCACTTGATTGGTTACCAGTTTCATGATGCCGGTTGATTGATTGGTTATAAATTTTTCTAGTTTCATGTCTTTCTCGCATCATAAATACAGTTTTACCATCAAAATCTTTTGCTTATCCTGGAAAATATGAAACTGGAAAGGGCTGACCAATAAAAAATCTTTGTGAATTTTGATCAAGGTTTTAAAAATCCACCCTGAAATGGAACCATTAGCTTCCAGGTCAGTGGTTTAACTGTTCAGGTCGAACGGTTCCGGTAGTTTGATATGTTTGACCTTAGATTGGAATATTAGGGTAAAAAGGATGCTACACGTCTATTTATGAGAAAAAAGAGGTAGGTGGCTGTTGGTCTGGAAAAGGTAAGAAAGAAATGAAAGGAAGAAAAGAGGAGGCCATGTTCACCAGTGATAATGACGACTGCAGTCAGTGCAGTGGTGGCAATGACGGTGTCAGACAGCAGCGGTGGTGTTTTTGCCCCAACCCATTTCGGATCCCTCCATCACTCTGATCTCAGATCTGAATCTGATCTTTCTCTCTTTCTCTCTCTCTCACTCACTCAGTGATCTCAGATCTGAGATCTTGTTCCAATCCTTCTCCCATCTCTCGATCTCCTCTATTAATGCTCCCTTAAAAAAGTAAATAATTTTTTATTAAATCATACGTCACTGCTTGGATGGAATAGTTTATTGGTTTGACTGCCTGGGTTAATGGTTTTCTGATTAAATCAATGTTTTTTTTTTTTCCAAAAAATAACTCAGTTAAAAATCATATCCAGAGATATGATCGTTTCCCAGATTAAATGGTTTGACCAACAATAATTTTGATAAATAACACCAGATTGGTCAGCACTTTTATGATGCTGGTTTCATCTTTTCATTCCATCCATTATAAAACTTCCCCTGAAATTTTAAAAAATTTAACAAAAACCTCCGTTAGGCCTTAACTAAGACAAAAAGATGTTAAATCAATGCATATTTTTTTTTCTTAAAATACCTATTTTACCCTTTTATAAAATGGGAATTGAAATAAAAAATGCCTCCGGGTACTGAAATAAAATACCCGTTACTACGGAAGACTTACTGGTTGAAAGCTGCTCTTGTTTCTATTGGCATCTCTCCACAACTTTGGCCAAGATTTAGAGAGCGAGTGGTCAACAATGTTTTCCCTACGATATCTGTCTTCATCCTCATCTTTAGTGCCATTGTGCTATTGGTGTGACTTCTTGGAGACATTCCTGTCACCACTGCGAATAATAGAGGAGCTTTTGGAAGGACATTTGCAGAGATTAGCCATAGAATAAACCCAAGTGAAGTTCTTTGATTTGTAATTATTATACCAGAATGCTTCAACTTTCATATGGTTAGAATCCCCTATTTGGTATGTTTGGTTATGTTAGGATAACTGCAAGATGGTTATGTGGATTTTTGCGTTGTCCTGCTCTGTATTTTCTTTTTCTCTTCTCTTCTTTTCTTGTTTTTGGTAAAAATCCATTACTCATTTTTGGTTGAGGAAGAATTGCTCACCCGGTCCCATCAAGATCAAGATGATCAATAATGATGATTGGTGCCACGAAATTTTACCTCCCGTAAAAAAAATCAAAGAGACAATAACTAGTGCAATTGAATATTTAAATTAATATCAATCAAAGAAGAGGAAAAATAATAAAATTCACTTGGCATATCTGCTTTAATAAAATAAATTCACCTGGTAAGAATCATCGGGGATAAAAGGTAAGTAAATGGTCCTCACCGGGTGGAATCCATAATCCTTCAATCTGCGGAAGGCCTCAAGCTACTGCATGCCAACACATTTCACGTCCTATAATCCTCCTCTAGCATCAGCTTGGTCGAGGTGGGCATTGAAAGGGAGGTGGTTCCATTTCCGAAGCTCAATGGGAGCAACGTTAGTGTGTGAGTTCAGGAGAATTGAAAGCAAGGTCCAAATAAATATTCTAGGGCTAGGGGGGCTTTAGCTTGAGAAAGGATGAAATTTGCAGCCGTGGAGGAATCACGGTTCGAATAAGTTGTGTTGATTTGCAAGTCTTTACGAAATTTACTAATCATCCACCCCCATTTGGTTGTCTATAGCTGAAACAACGATTAAGGGCTTTTTTGATAGGAAGAACAAAGCACACATCCTCTGTATTTAGTATAGAAAAATCAACGAAAACAACATTAAGGGTTTTTCTGATGGGAAGAATAGAGCTCGCATCCTCTATATTCGGTATAGAAAGATTATTTGTACTTGACGGAGGAAGTTTTAGGGGAGAAAGAGTCTATGGTTGCCAAATGCTATCTCTCTTCGTGACTCAATGGAGTTTCACGGTAGGAGATTGAAAAAAGAAAGAGGACGAGAGATGGGTTATTTCAAATTAAAATGCAAAGGGTAGAATAGGTATTTTGTAAAACTTAATCCATCGGTTGAATGTTTTCAGTTTGGGTAAGTGACAGAAGGGAGGTATATGTAGAGTGTTTCAAAAGTTCGAGGGAGGTTTTTGTTAAAATAAAACCTGAAGGAAGGATTTTATGATTGTCAGAACCTTCAAGGGAGATTTTTGTATTTTACCCTAAAAAAGGTGTTTTAGAAGGGTATAAAATAGACTATTGAAAACTTCGGAGGAGAAGCTTTGAGACATGTTTGAAGACATTGTCTTTAGAACGTTATTTGCCTCCACTTAGTTTCACTAAGTTTGCTGTTGGGTTATAAGTAAATCCGTTCCCAGGATACAATGGAGCCTTGGGCAAGAATCTGCAACCAACAAAGTTGAAGAGTCTCCGAAGAAACTTTCTGTGGGACTGTAGCAAACCAGACTAAGAGAGAGAGAGAGAGAGAGAAAGTGAATTTCAAAAAATGTGTGTTTGAGAAATCTGAGTCATGCTCCTTAAATAGTTTATGAAGAGGTATGAAGAAAATGTAGGTGTTGGTTCAGAAAAGGCACCTTCAATAGTCACAATTTCAAACATTGTGAAATTGTGACTGTTTAAAAGGTAGTTAACAGTTAATGACGGTTAACTTTGAATTGTGCCTCTTGATCACACCCGATCGAATCGTAACCGTTCATCTCATCAACAGTGATCAAGGGTCAGCATCGCACCAAAACCAAAGCCGCCCTTCGTGAGCCATGCGAAGTGCGAGCAAAGTACACCTCTAAAGCGCCTCATTGCGCCGCACACACACGCACACACGTGTGCACGCGTTGTGCGGTATCAAACCTCCATACTCTCATCTACTATTTCTAAGGAGTGTAAATCAGCTCCTATTAAAATACTGAAAACAAAACTTATAATTTTCCAATGTGGGACAAGTTCAAAATTGGGTTTTGTAAGAGAAAAGCTAATTTTCTAAACAAGTGTGCAGGTGCAACTTCTCATGTAATTGACCAATCAAACCCATTGGATTTAATCTTTCCATGGTTTGCTTACATGGTTGGAGTGGAGTTGTAGTGGCAACAGTCTGTTTACATGGTCAAGTTTTAGCTGAAAAGGAATGAGTGAGAGAGGATGGCAGAGAGGAGAGAGAGTTGGTCTTGGCTAGGGGTGGCAATTGGGCGAGTTGGGTTGGGTTTGGTTTGGGTTGAGTTTCAACCCAACCCATCTAACCTGCCAACCCATTAATGACTCGGTTATATAAAATTAAATGGGTTGGGTTCAACCCAAACCTGCTTTAACCTAATCCAACCTGGCCAAACCCATTAATCTTATATTTATGGACTTAAAAAAAAAATGCTTTCTCTCTCTTAACAAATAAGTTGGTTGTAGCTTGGTGGTTATTGTAATTGATATTTACGTAAATGGTGAAGGTTCAAATCACATTACATGCATGTTATTTTTACACAAGTGGTGAAGCCATTTGACTATGTTCGGATTATGGGTTTGACCGAACAACTTAGGTTTAAACCGGTCAGACCAACTTAAACCACTTAGGTTCAAGGGTGGCTGAACCGTTTAAATTTAGATCAATCCGGTCGGATCGGAATGGACTGGACCAGTTCAGTCAATGGTGGATTGACTTAGACCAGACCATATCAAGTTTGTGCACGGGGTCGGGACCGAACCGGCTGACCCGAACAGGGTCAATGTAGCTAAATCGGGTCAGTCGTGCGGATATTGGTTGGTCCAGATTGGGCAAAACACGCAGAGGTCGAATCATCCCACCCAAAACCATTTCGGATTCGAGTCAAACCGGATTGACTTGTACCGGGTCGGGTTGGGGTGTGTGAATATTGGTTGGGCCAAATGGTCCAAATTGGACAGAGCAAGTGACACTAAAGCATCTCGCCCGGGGTCTATTTCGGATTCGGGTCGACCCAGATCAATATATGCTGGATCGGGTCAAACTGTGTTGAACTGGTCCGGACTCAGGTCAAATTGATTTGGATTTATGTTGGATGAAGTATATTGATTCAAGACAAAATTAAATTTAGTCAATTATTAATAGAAAATTAATGCATTAATTATAAATTATTTAATTCAAATGAAGAAAATAAAAAAAAGGCTAAGGAATTAATACATATGTCTATAATGGTTAACCCAATGGTTATCCACAACCCAACCCAAATGGGATGGGTTGGGTGATGGATTGATCACACAACCCGCTAAGTAAATAGGCGGGTTGGGTTAAAAATTGCCACCCCTAGTCTTGGCCCGTCTGTTTACATGGTCGGATGCAAGTTGGAAAGGAATGAGTGAGAGAGGAGGGAGAGGTAGAAATTTGGTGGTCGAATTGTTGCTGTGGAGGGAGAAAGACCGGAGCAAGCGACTATGTTTCAAAATGTAGTTGCACAAACCAAAGTGCTTTTGGGTGTTTGCATATTGGGGGTCCCCAGATTTGGTTGTATCAAATGTTTGTATCTTTCCAAGCAGATAGGTGACAGGAAGGAACTCAAAAACCTTGCCAAGTTTCAGACATTGGATCTTTCCAATAATCAGTTCTTTAACAATATTCCCAAGTCTCTGGGCCAAATCTAGGGATGGCAATTTTCCTCATTTCTCCAATCTCCGTGGGGATCTGCCCTGAATGGGGCAAGGATGGGGATGATTTCTCCCCCACGTGGACGAGGATGGAGAAATTTTCATCCCCGTTAGCGGGGACAGGGAGAGCACTCCCAGTCCCATGAGATCCCCACTAATATATGTATGCATACATTATTTATGTATATATATGTACACATACATCTATATCTTAATATTTTTAAAAATATGGTTGAATCTTTTCTAATAGAATTGTAAATTTTAATTAGTTTAATTTTATTTTTTAAATAAAATAAAAAATAAAATGGTTAACATTATAAAAAAATCACGGGGAGTGGGGATCCCCGTGTGGATGGGGATAACCTTGTCCCCGTTAACGGGACGGGGATGGAGATTTTTGCGGGGACGGAGATGGGAAGAGGCTCCTCGTCCCTACCCTGCCCTGTTGCCATTCCTACCCAATGGTCTGCGTTACAATGAAATTCATCTTTCTTCAAAACCAAAAGCCAATTTGTCAATTAAAGGTTTGAAAACAATGACTCGTGGAAGCTTCCAAATGTGATGATGATTTGTTTGTTGTTCTTTGTTCAAAAACCCTCTATTGGAGAGAGGGAAAATATCGTAGAAACAAAGAATTGGTGTCGAGGTCACTGAAATCGACGAAGATACGAGTTTGCAGGTATAAGTGACATTTTATTACCCGCAAGAATAGAGGTTTCCAACCGAAATAGGGAAGCTTTTGTCATTTGGGCAAGTAGGGTTGGATCGTTGGAGATGCGGAAGAGTTGGAACGAAAAAGCGGAGATAATCTCTCTCTCCCCCTCGTTCTGATGATGTGTGTTTGATCTCGATATCATCCTCTAAGGGGATTTAGATCAGATCACTGCCCATCTCTTTCGGTTCTCTGCTATGCGTAAACAGGAAGGAGATAATGAACAGTTGTTTTTTCAAATTAGGTTAAACGAGGAAGAGACTAAAGGCAAAAGGGAGCTTAATAAAAAAGGATAGTTTAAAAAATTTGCCCTTTTATTTATACTCCTTCCAAATTGAAATGTATTTGTATTTATGCTCTTTCTAAAGTAAACCTAAATCAAAATTTCAACCAATCATTTATTTATTTTTCATTTACTTATACAATAAGATATACTTCTTTTAACAACCTTACAAATGTCACTGTAATGTTTCTTGGTTCATTTGTTGTTTGAATTATGTGACAACTTTCATATATGCACCATAGATTTTGCTACGTATCAATTGATCGCAAAACTGGATAACAAGTGTAGACGGAAACAAAGAGAGCATCTACAAATTCCATTCTATTCTATTGGCTTACAGTCAATACTCGTAGATTTAAGACGTTGGATTGGAATCTAAAGAAAATCCAACTGAAAGCGCATTGTGTCCATCGCTCCAAGGTTCAGACGACCAAAAATAGGTCTAAATTCTTTCTAATCCTCATCCAATTAATAACTTACACGTCTCGGTCGCAATGGTGGCGCACTCATTGGATCAACGAAACCAAAAAATGTCACAGTCACAGACCAGCAAGCATCAGTAATCGTCTTATACAATACTACCAATCTCACGGAAACAAAGTAAGTAAGCCATTCAGATTTAAATTATGTAATCTGACCATTCCGAGATGAAGGATGTATGATCCATCGATTCCCCAGGAATGTCTTCGTGTTTTGCAGGCTGGTCTTTCCCTCCTACAAGCCTCGCCGGGTTTCCAACTGCGGTGGTCCTCGGCGGTACATCCTTCAGAACCAGCGATCCCGCTCCAATCTTCGCTCCCTCCCCGATCTTTATGTTCCCCAATATCGTGGCGCCAGCTCCGATCAATACCCCATCGCCGACCTTCGGATGCCTATCTCCACTCTCCTTCCCTGTTCCGCCCAGCGTTACGTGATGGAGTATCGACACGTTGTTACCGATTACAGCCGTCTCCCCAACAACCAACCCCGTGGCGTGATCAAAGAGAACCCCCTTCCCGATCTTCGCCGCCGGGTGGATGTCTATGGCGAATACGTCCGCGATTCGGGATTGGAGAGCGAGCGCGAGCGGGCGACGCGACTCGTTCCACAGCCTGTGAGCCACGCGCTGGGCCTGGCAGGCGAGGAATCCCTTGTAGTTGAGGAGGCAGTGCGAGAAGGAGACGCAGGCTGGGTCACGCATTCGGGCGGCACGGAGGTCGGCGACCGTGGCGGCACGGAGTGAGGGTTCTTTGGAGAAGAAACTCAGGAAGAGATCGTATAGGAGGGTGGACAGGAGGGTGGAAGAGCATAGCTTGTTGCCGAGGTGGAAGGAGATGGAGCGAGCCAGGGAGGAGTGGGAGAGGATAGTGGAATAGAGATAGCTGGCGAGGGCGGGTTCCGCGTCGGCATCCCGGCGAGCCTCGGCTTTAATCTGGGACCAAACCCATGCCTCGTCTTCGCATGAGTCGGTGAAGCCGGTGAACGAAGTGCGGGGTGGGGCTGCCGTCGGGTAGCGTATTTCGCCGGCTGGCATCTTGCTCGGCGGCGAGTAGCAGAATTGGATTTGAGTATGAAGGTAGCAGGGGATAAGGGGTTCGTGTGTGGCGTGTGGCCTGGACGAGTCTGTGCTGTGGATCGATGGACGATGGGGGGAGTTATAAGGAAATGTTGGTGGGGCCCTGCAGAACTTCATCCTCTTCTTTATTCAGAAACTCGGTGGATCTCCCGACGAGCAGTTGAGTAGAGGTCAACCACTGACATCAACAGGAACCTTCGGTTCGGGTTCAATGGGGGCAACCTAATCCATTTCGACCTTCGGAACTCACAACTCACAAGGTTACAAACTTACAATGGCGAGTGGTGGATATCAGCATCAAATCCGACCCGATTAGCTTTCTCCCTAGCCCCTAGCCACTTAGCCAGCAAGGCATTGTCCGAATCACCCTGAGGAAACCCGAAGCAGAGCAGTCTATCTACCTGAAGCAGAGCAGTCTGGAACCTTTAAGTCAATCTTTTATTTCACCCAAAAAATAAAATAAATAAAATAAAACTTGTGAATATTAAATGGCGACGAGAGTACGAGACCCACTCATCATATTAAAAATTGGAAAAAATATTGAATGGCTAATATTTATTTCAGCGGAATAAGTGGTTTACATTGCTGATATTCTGCTATATACCCACGTGGCAACTGGCAAGCTGGTAACCCTTGTATAAAACTTTTTTCATAATCTTGCCACGTGTTTGATATGCATAGCATTGGGAGCCACAACTGGATGAGTTCCACCTAGGTAGATAACCAAAAAAAAAAAAAAAAACTGTCATGAGAATATTTCAAAGGAGCTCAAATTCAACTTTTCTTCACCCTCCATCGAAATACTTGCACGTTGCACACCAAGTCCCCCAACCCCCCTCCGATCTCTAACGAAGAAACTAAACTTCCCTTCATGGTAGGACCCACTGAACAGTGATGTTCAACAGCCCAAATTTGTATCGACACGGGGCAAGTTATGGGGTACAAGTTGAAGCACGTGAAATGAATGAAAGGTACCCTTTGTCTTTCTAATCATATATAGCTATGCTATATCGTAAGCCTAAAATAAATAAAATAGAAATTCAGAGTTGAAAACGCAATGGCTGAAGTAAGCATGGTAGTAGTCCAAATATTACAAAATAAAAAAGGCTCCACACATACACATGGGGCGCCCATTGTATATCTATCTAACTCAAGAACGTTAAAGAAACAAGTATTGTAATACTGCATTTGGTCTCATCACCTCTCTTGCAACTCATACAAACACAAACACGCTTGAATCGAAGTCTGGGTCTCGGGTCAAACGATTCAACCAAATGATTAAATTGTTTAATTCATTCAAATAAAACTATAAAAAATTGCAAATGGTTCTGAGACCCATCTTTTAAACCTATTTTACATCAAAATAGGATTATAAATTAGAGAATATATTACATATTATTAGCACATGCAAAGGAGCAAGTTTGACCAAGTCAACATTTCTAAGACGCAGGCTCCCAAGTTTTGATGGTCCTGAGCTTACGACCAACTGCTAAATTTCTGAGCCATAATTTCCATGACACCCTGCTGATACTGAATCCTAAGCATCAACTAACATGCTAATATACCAATGAAGTTCTTTCTTCTGGGCATGCAGGAAAAAAAGTCGTGAAAAATGTAGTAGTATTATAAAGTTGAACTCATAGTTAAGACATGTTCAGACTTCAGAGATTAACTATTCATGCAAGAGAACAGATTACCAGTCCTTATCATCCAACTGAATACATTACACTGTTATATACAAGATTAATCATCTCCATGCATGAAGCATCCAGCTGCATGATCTTTTTTCTTGATCCACATTTTACTTGCTCACTTGTCATCACATGGAAAGTAAGACCCAAGCAAGTGAAAGCAGTCTACTCCATGAAGAAGACCATGACTGTCAGAGGGACTGAATCTTTTTCTACCTCAGTTACCTACCAAGAAGTCCATCAGTTGGTGCTCACTATACTGGTGCAGGCAGATTTACTTCCATCTGCTTCAGTTCATTGAGATTCTCTGGTTATCAATTGTCAATGCTTATGGGGTCCTATGACCATTTTCTGTTGCATCATCAGTTCGACGGCCCCTCCTATTGTTCATTTCTGAGTACATTTCTTCTATCATAGGTTTCCAGAGACGAACGCGTGCATTTATGAACCAATTGGATACCTAAAGATAACACCACAACACAATGATCAAGGCAAAAGAAATAAGAAATGATGCAAAGAATAAACCCATCAAATAATAGAGAACAAGAGAATGGTACTCCCCAGTGACTTTTTAAGCGGATAAAAGATGAACTGATTACAAGCTTGGTAAAGTATTAAATACCTGGCTCCGTGTCAGCCCGCTTCTTATTGCAAGTAGATGTTTCTCTGTGTCCTTGGGATACCTGAAAATCCATAAATTTTGTGACTTAAACAACCTCTAACCCAACCAAGTTTTGGATGTATGTCATTTCTCAACATTTTCATTGATGCAAAAAGGTGTGACACCGTACTCTGGAAAAAGCCAAAAACATACACAGATGCACACGTTTTGTTTCATATATTATGAAAATGCTTTTCTATAATAATCTACTTATAAAGAAGAGGTATTTAAAAATTTATTTCAATCATATAATTCGAAAAAAAAAACAAGCAAACTTTATGATATAAAAACAAAACTCACGAATTTTATGCTTCAAAACATGTTTTGTTCTGTATTGATATTGAAAACACCACTTCTGTGTGGTTCAAAGTTATAGTGTGGTTTTAAAAAAGCACATCTTGATGTCATTGAACTGTTACATGTGGAACCTGCAACCAGAAAAGTTCATGCTGTCGTCAGGGGGCTTTTTTGGTAACGCCTGAATTTCAAAACAGAATTGTCAGGTGGCTCTGGCTGGATGCAAGTCTTTGTAGGTGAAAATAACTTGAAAATGCACAAAATGCAAGTTCTTTCTGATGGTCAGATATTCCGAGCATCCCGAGATTGGTTAGTTCCAATCCAATGGTCAGAGTTCTTTCTGATGGATACCCTCTCCTAAGCTCTGGTATTTGTGAATATGTGCTGCTATATCTGTATATGCGTTATCACTTATCAACAATCATTCTAGGAAAGGAACTTACGGGTGGAGGAAGTTCTGAAACATCCATGCTCGTAAAACTGAGACTGATCTTTCTGGTAAGCCTCTTTGTGGCCTCCATGACTGATGATCTCTTCTCCTTAGTTGCTGGAGAGCCCATTGCTTTTGAATGAAAGATGATTTGAATTTCTCCCCTACCATACATTTAATGCTGAGGTGTTCTCCGGATGCAAGGATTTGGTTGGCAATTCTCTCCCTTAGATTGCTATACAGAAAAGATATTGTCTGTAGAACAAAACACGCATGTATCCGAGGGTCCATCTCAGTTGCAGCATGGAATGCAGATACGACTGTGTGGATCTCATCCAAGCATTGGCTGTATCTGCTGTCAACCTAAGTTAAAAAAAGAATAATCAGGATGCATTTTTAAGTAACAAAGAATTTAGGTGGATACACCAAGTAACCAATATTTTAGGTGGTGGAGAAGTGTGGAAGTCAGTTAAGGAGAAAGGCAATTCAAGGACCAAATTTTCATGGTTGACCGGGTAACTGTGGTTTTTGGCCAAGAAAAAGAATGTGAGGAATATGACTCAATCATGTCAATCTTCTTTTATGTTTAACTTTTGAAATCATATTTTTGAAAAACAATTCAAGTTAAAAAAGATTTGAATATGATTCAACAGATCTTTTGATCCACTTGGTCAACATGTTTGAATCTCAAGATGGTGAAATAGACAAGTTTAGGTCAAATAGGGAGATCCTTACGACCTAGTATATTTTATCCACATGGAAGAATCTTCTGCTAACCAGCCTAACCCAAATGACTCGTCAAATAGAGGACACTCTGGATTGGCCATGTTTTAATCCTGCAATTGGACTCATAATAGACAGCTTATCTAGAGAAATTTAAAAGGTCTCTTGGTTGGTTGGTCTGAAAAAATTTTCCATGAATTAGGATGAGGAGCAAAAACTAGGGACTCCCTTTGAACCCAAAAAATACTTGGCACGTGGAAGATTCTTGGTGGTTCATTTAAGTAAGCTCACTACGCAACCATCTAGACTTTCCACACACACACACACAGTCATACCACTTGTAGCAAAGCTAATAGTTGAGTTTTCCTGGCTTCAACCTCCTGTCTTTGCAATGGAAGCTTTTTTTGACTATTGGATCCAGTTTCTCCAGAATGAAGAGGAAATTCATCAGACCTCATCTTTTGAATCTCTCTTTCAGCAGAGAAATTTGATGAAAGTGGTATTTTTTGTCCAGTTCCAATCTCACCTGCTGAATAACTCAGGCAACCTAGGTTTTTTAGAGAATAACTTGCAAATTCAGAAAGTATTTGCTGAGCTACATTGAGATATTTTGACTCAGACAATATCTGTGAGAACTGGACAGGCGCATATGAACCAAAACCCAAAGAAAGCTCATTGCTCTTTCTAGATGCCTGCTCTGAACCAAATCCCACTCCCATACCAACTTCATGCAATGAATGCTGTGTAACAACAGAGCTACTTATTTCTGAGCACTGATCTGTTATGGTTGGTACACTGATAATAGAGGGTTGGCACGTGGCCAGACTTAGAGATAGTTCATTACTAGGTAAACAGTAGCCATATGTGTCATCTGCACTGATGCTGGACTTGTTAGATGACATCCATACATGTGGGTCCAAGCTTCCTACAAAACCATGTGGCAAGGCTTTACCCGCAATATCCTCAGGACCCGGAAACTTGTGAACAGTCCATTTACCATCCAGTTGGTCAGTGACACCCGTGTCTTTCTTGGAAACTATACACTGTACATAATCATTTTCTCCAGTATATCCACAATTCACTGAGGCTGTAAGTGAAGAATTGGATGTATCACAGCAGCCATTTGAAACAGTACTTCTCAAATCTTTCAATGGGAAGGATGAGTTAGAAGAAATTGAAATCCTGTTGAGATCTTCCTGCAGACTACCATTTGCTGCCAAAAAGTTAAAAAGTGATGTGGCAGTTAAGGATGCTCCTCCCATGAACTGCCCCTGAAACTCGTTGTTATCAATGGACTGTGAAATGATGGGTGAAGAATCTCCAATGCCATGTTCATCAAGTGGCAAATTTCTAGAAACTGAAGCATTACTATTAACTTCATCATGGTTTGCCACATGGAGATCATTTCTGACATTTATGGGTTCTCCTTGCAATGCTGAAAGCAAAGGATATCCTGCCATGATCTGGTTTCGGCTGTTAACAAGCAATGAATCTTGGTGAATAACCATACCAGGGAACATACTTGAAGGCATTCCATCTATAGCCATAGGATTTTGATAGTTAACATCTACTGAGTTGTTGACTATGCTGTTCTCCATTGCACAGTTAGAAACCAAAGAACTGTTGTGCCAAGATCCAAGTAAGTCGAGATGTTCAGAAGGATATAGGCTCTGAAAGAATTAAACACCAATCCAATCTAAAACTATATTTCGTCTGCAGCTTCAAACACTTTTCAATCAATTTTCCCTCTGACAATCAAGAGAGATCATAAGACAGTAGTTCACTTTTAATGGTTATGGGTTAAACTGCTTCCTTCAATTATTTTTCATCATCTGTCCAATCTATTGATCCCCTTGGGCTAATATGGACCTGGAAAACAATCAATAAAAGTGAATGGGAAGCAAATGTACCACCTAATCTGGAAGAAATATATGGCATGGGAATGAGATCCATCTTCTGAGAGACAAAACAAAACAAAACAAAACAAAAATCAAGGTTTATAGAAATAAAATATTCTTATTGACTGGACCATGCTAGAGAACCTTGAGAAAAAAAATCCCTCTTGACTGAAGAATGCTAAAGAAAAGAAACCATAAACAATGTGTGCCTTTGGTGTTGGGTTGAGAGAACGTTAAAAGAAAAAAACCCATAATCAAATAGACAGTTATCTACAATATGTGTCATCTACTTATCTACATAGAAACTCAAAATCCAAAATGGAACCATGGGGAACCTCTCTGACAACGGTTTCTGCTATTAAGGACCATGTTCTCAAAATAAGCCCTTTTATGGAGCAAATTTTATACATAAAATATACAACTCCCCCCTAATTGAGTCAATTAGAAAAACTGTTTCCTGTGTATATGATCAGTAAAGATTAGATTTCCTACCAATAAATACATTTGTGCCCAGAAAACAAGAAGGAATGGCAAAGTATCAGACAAATTCAGTTGCATGACTTTTGTATTGTATCAATATGATCATCGGTGAAAGAAATACATATACTTTTTTTTTGAGAAAAAGTAACAATTTTATTTAAAAAAGAGCAAGGGGTAAATGAGAATGTATGGCTGCAGAAAATACTTCACCAGGGACATAGACATTTATTTGATTGTTAAAAGATATTAGATATGTATTTTGCAATCAATCTTAATGACTATACATTTATGTAAGTTTTATTTGACATTTATATGTATGCACGGATAGTTCTAGCTTTCAATAATATAGGTTAGCTTATATATGACATTTTGCATATATAAGTTTAAGTGAAATCATATGATAAATGTAATTTGATTGATAATTCATGATAATACAATTTTGCACACTAAGGGGTTGTTTATCAATATGCATTTGTTCCTTTAAAACCAAAACAAGTGTCACATCATTAAAAACAATTTTTTTTTCTGCTGTGGCACAGTGTTTGAAAAGCGCAAGGCACAAAAAAAAACAAGGGGCAATTTGTGCCCGAGGTGTAAGGTGAGGCATGTGCCTTTTTGAAGCAAGGCACAAAAATACAAAAATTGCCGAAAAATTCAAAAATGCCAAAAAATTCAGAAAATGCCAAAATTAAAAAAAAAAACTAAACATAATATTAATAAAAATAAACTTAAATTTTAAAATAAATGTTTTAAAAAACCTATTACCTAAAATTAAAATACATAAACATAACATGTAAAGCATATTCAAATGGAGATTTAAAAATAAAATCAAAGATATAAAACATTTTCAAGCATGTAAAACCCACAATCTCTTTTTCCCTTAATTCAATTATTTCAAATAGCTGATATGGTGTAAACCATCTTGCGTTCCTGATTCTACAAGCCACCTTTGTACCAAGCCCCTCAAGGCAAGTTCAAACAAGTCCATGTTAGGGTCTTAAATTCTTAATCACTACATAAAAAATTTGATTTTATAATTTTAATTTCCTTTTAAGAAGATGTTTTATAATTCAAATGCACCTTTGTACCAGCCACTAGGTTCAAAAAAGAACAAAAGGCGCAAAAAATAAAAAAAAGGTGCACGCCTGGGCTGAAATGCAAGGCACACCAGGCACATGCCTTTTGAAAGTGCTGTGCCTGGGGCCTAAGCGAGGCACATACCTTAAAATGTGCATTGACTGAATGTAGGCGTGCCTTTTAAATCACTGCTGTGGCAATTGTTTTTGTTTAAGAAATAAAATCATGCATATTGAAAACACCCCCCCGAGTTGAGGTATAAGCCATAGTTGCAAGCCTCTCTGTCCACAAATGCACATGCATGACGTGCATACATGTGTGGATTACTTTCTGTCTGTTTGTTGTTTGTGTCCATGTTTAATGTGTCTTTCTATTTGACAAATAAACTTGCATTACTTTAATCTTAGTTGAACTTTAGATTTCTTATCAACTGGTTGATTTTTCATGTTTAACAAAAACAGACATGATTTTTTCTTGTAGCTACATAATATTTTCATGAGGATCACACCTTTCAATTGATGCATGAATAAGTGTTGGAATTGCATGAGCATGGACCTCACTGACATCTCACTGGCACCTTATTCATGTTTCATAATGATGCCAAGAATCATATTTAGACCTTACCTATGAAAAACTGGTTGGTTTCAGTTTCCCTTCCCCATGCTATTCCTGATTCTGTAGTGTGTACAGGTTTGGAATGAAGATAAACAAAAATTATTTGTCTTTTTAAGTTTTACAGCAAACAAATCAGGATAATTCCATGTTAGTTATAGTAATATCCCAATTCTCATTCAAATTATGAACAACTTTGCTTCTAAGAGACAACCTTGTAGGGTATAATCATCAATTTTCCTTGACCAAAGTGACAACCCCCCCTTTTTTTCTGAAGTGTGGCTTTTTAGATGTCTATAAGAATCCTCCTCTAGACTAAAGAACATACAATGCTGGGCCTTCTGAATGAGGTAACAGCATCAGGAGACACTTGTGATCAAAATAGTCATAAGAAACAGCTTTAATTTCATATTAACTTTATAGATCCTCAAGAAAAAACAATAATGGATCGAAAACTTTTAAAATTGAATTAAACAAGAAAGAGGAGTAAGAGAACCATAAATGTTTGGAAAATTAGAAAGGAACTGAACAGTGGTTCCTAAACAACCAGTACTGCATGCCTGCATGGGAAAGGAAAATATAAAGAAAAGAGGAAACATTCAACATATAAAAGGACAAAGAAGACCATCAAATTATATGATTTTGAACTACGATGCAAAAGCGCTTGATAGTTTGTCTTCAAAACACAACACTTCTCCAAACAACTACATATGAAAGCAAAGAGAGATTACAAAAAAAGGTGGGATTTATCATTTATTTATGTAAAGTACCAAAATTTGAATCTCAGACTTCCAAATACAGAGAAATGCATAATTTCAATTCTAACTTTTGAAGAACACAACAGAAGCAACTAGTATGTAACTCCATTTATGGTCGCATGCCCATGCCTATGACATTCTGATTAGAATGTCAATTCTGTCAAGCTGAGTTTACTTCAAACTGCACAGCGTAGCATGCAGTTGATAGGTTGCACATGAAGCAAAAGTAGGACATCACATGTAAGCAAACTCAACTTGACAGAATGGATTGCAGACAGTTCATAAACAGATATTTCTTTCATTAAGTACTCTGGTACACAACTTCAATTAACGGTTTAGCAGTTTGAAGTAACAACTTTCAAGAAGAAAAGGCCGAACATAAGCAAAAATTATGAAATTACGAAGCCAGTAAGAAAAGTTCCTCAGAGAACCAACCTTCCATCCATTTCCTTCACAGAACCCGGCCAGAAACAGAAAGGACTCATCAACTTCTAGGTTCCCCACCTTCCTGACTAGCACAACTCAAAGTCCCTTCTGCATTAGAAAGATGATATAGTTTCTTTCCGCAATGAATAACACCGCAATTAAGCTTTCTCAGAGGACTCAAAGAAGAATATGCAGTAAGAAAAGCCAGTCAGGAATAAAGGATGCAATTTCCTCCACAAAACCTGGCCAGAAAAAAGAAGAATGGAGATAAGGATTAATCAATTCATGGGTTCCCCACCTTCCTGACTAATCACAAGTCAAAGTTTTTTCCTCATTCGAAAGATAAAGTGGGGTTTTTTTCCCACGCTGAACAATTCCAAAAGTAAGTTTCTCAGACAGCTCAAAGACAAGAACATGCAGCGAAAAGTTCGCCATGAATCATTGGTTTCCCTTGTTTGGAACTAGTATAATCAAAAGCAAAGAAAATGGCCTACTCTTTTACACTTCTTTACCATTCTTTCTGATTGATCAGGAAATTGGCTCTTTTTTCTTAGAACCTAAAGGCAAAAGAATGGGGTTCAAAAGCACACGGAACCCATGCATCAACTGCTGGCTCTTTCAAACCACATAACCAAAAGCAAATTTTCAAACCACATAACCAAAAGCAAGTAAGCAACTATTAAAAGTGGGCTAATATCTTTGCGTAGAAAGAAAGTTTGTTCTGCTCCCGAAACCCAAAGCCCAAGAGACTGAGATTCAGAACCCATCAAGAATTATGCGCTCTCTCTCTCTCTCTCTCTCTCTCTCTCTGTCCAGTTTTCACTCTAGCAACAAGATGTTAAAGTTCAATGCATAGATGGGTCCTCGGGACAAAAGAAATCCAACGCAGAAAAACCAGTAGAAAGAAGGAAGATAGTCAAAAAAGCCAAAAGGCCTTCGGCAGACAGGTTGGGATATATGGACCCATTGATTAAGATGGAGAGAAGGAGAGCTACGAAAGAGTAAAAACAAGGAGATGAGAAAACATTACTCCCGGTGCAGTGCTACTCATTTCTCTTGCAGGCTTTAGAGGGCCCATTTCACTCTCTCTCCTCTCTCCTTGCGTTCCCCCGCCTCTCATCCTCTGCTTCTCTGCAATCATCACAACCAAAATATCTGGAATCTCTCTGTTCAAACTCCTGTTCATGGCAGATGTTTCCAGCTCCATTTTTCAGAGAAAGACTATACTTTTTTTAGCTCTTTTAATTAGACAACAAGCAAATGTTGCGATAAAGGAAAAGGGAAAGAGAGAGAGAGAGGGAGTGACAGACAGAGAAGCAATGGTTGTATTGTACTTTTGGCAAGTATGCAGAGGGAGAGGTGATGTAAGCAAAGTTAGCAAACACCAGAGATGGCTGAGAAAAATCTGGAGAGGAGATCTTTGGCGAATTTATTGGGGCGATTTTAAATCCCCATCTCGTTTTATATTTAGTCCTATTTTGGCTTTGTACGGTTGAGGTAGTTGCCCAGGAGAGCTCGTATAGCATGATGATGAGTCGCTTCACACATTCGACCCGAACCCAATTCAACAAAGCGGCCCATCGCTTTTCTTTTTCAGAGAGAGAGAGAAGGAAAGTATTGTCACAGCAAAATGTAACTTTCAAAAAAAATCCTATTTATGATCGTATTAATTTCTCGTATAATCATTGTTTTCAACTATATAACCATGGCTCAGTTTTGAACTTTATATATTTGTATTTATACTCCTTTCAAACTGAGCTTATACACCATAATAAATAGGAGTAAATAAGCATTTGCCTAAAAATGCATCATATTAGAATCTTATTGTCACTGAAATATGGGTATTTTGGGGTTTTGATCCATGTTAAAGGTAAGTAGGATTAAGGTGATGTCTAGTATAAATGATGATTTCTTGCAAATCATTTCCATGTTAGAGGAATTGGCATTGAAATTTTTATTTGATTGGTCGATTTTGATGATTTTCAGGAATTTGGTCAAAATTTGATTCTTGAAATCAACCCTTTTTAGGGATGATTTTTTTTTGGGTGATTTCCTGATTTTTAGCTAATTCCGATCTTTTGAGAATGATATAACATCCAATATAGCATTGAATAATAATTCTAATATAAAAATAATTTACCTTTGAGAATTGGTACCAAATAGATTCAAAGCTGATTTTTCAAAAAATTGATTTACATGATAGAAATGATATCGAATAACAAAATTTACCGATTTTTGAAAAAAAAAACACTGATTTTAAAAATTGGTGACTTTTGAAAAATTGGCAAGGAAAAATCAGCATTGATTCCAAACATCACCTAAGACCAATTGATTGCAATGTATCAATACTTTGTGCCTTGGTTGAGAAAGAGATTAAAGAGAAGGAGCATGGGTTGATAAAAAGAGGTGGAAGACATAATTAAAGATAAAAAGAACAAAAGAAAGTGAAGGAGAGTGATAGGAGGCAAAGTCTTTTACTGCTTGTAGGAAAGACCTAGGATCCGGTCCTGCCTTGATATGGGTTGCAGGGTTTTGGGATGGGCTACCCCACTTCATCAGGGATATGGGGATTGGGAGATGGATTGCCCTCCTTTGTCTGGCCCCTTTTGCCTAAAAAGAAAAAAAAAAGGACCAATATAAAGAAGAAAAACTAGAAGATGGGACTAAAGCTCAGCACATTTTAGGGTGCCAACATGGTTGATTTTGATTTTTGTTAAAATTTTCAAAATCCTGATTCCAATCCTGGGGTTTCGAAGTTGCCATAGAACCCAAGACATTGCAAAGTTGAAATATTCCCTTGATTCAGAAATTAAAAACTTCAGACTTCCTGAGACTGAGAAGTGAGAACTAAGTCCAATCTTTGTGGGTCTCATCATATGTCTACTTTGTTGATGTTTTACTGATGTAATATGTATATGTGAGACCCACCTGAGAAATATGAAAATTGGTTTGTATTAAAAAACTAGTAAACTTCATATGATTTCAATTTCATGAATAGCCAGATTCTAGTACAAGTGTGGGCCACATTACATGAAAAAGGCACCCATGGATAATTGATTAAGTTGGTGAAGACCACCTCAGATTGTAAAGTCATCAAATGGTGGAACTCTATATGCTTTCTCATTGGGATGCAAGTAAAATCAACTCAATTAAAGGACTTTTGTTATGACTCTAGGTCAACTAGACAACTGTTTAATTAGTGAATTTCACTATCCCTACACGAACCGTCCATCAAATAAAGGACCCACTGTATTGGCCAAATGTTTCATCCGTGGCCCCAATCCATATGCCTCACCACCTTTTATTGTTGATATTCAAAATAAATGTAAACTTTTCAAAGTTTATTTATTTTTTAATGTAAAATGTACCTACAAAATAAGGCTCATTTTAAAAATGTGGCATCCGGCGGTAAATCAATAATGTTTAGGTGTTGGTCGTACTTTTAGAGTGTATGCAGAGTTTTTGCTTGTCAGTTCTGCTTCAGTTAGGGCAAAGCTCATTCGGATATCTTTTACTGTCTTGCATCGAGAATATCTTTATACTTGTATGCTTTATTTTATGAGGAAATATTCCTAATGCAAGATTACTGTTAAAATGGTGTAGGCATAGATTTGCCCTAATAAAAGCTGATCTAAGGCGCTATTATTGCAATAGTTTTGGATGTGTTTTTAAATTAGAACCCCTTAGAAATTAAGAATAGCTAATATGCTATATATATCATTCCCTATTCATATACGAAAATTCATTGTTTTCTATATATTACATGTACATCACACGTGTATTTATGTATTACATTCCTTACTCGAGTATTTCAATATTTAAGCAACCTAAGTGGCCAAGGCTGAAATCTTAGAAAACATCTTCTATATGTGAAGGGATAAGGTTGCATACATCTATCCCTCCCTAGATCCCGCATTGGTGGGAGCCTTGTGCGTTGGATTGTCCTATACAAATCAATCACGTGCGATGCAAGGGCTTTGTTAAAATAATTTGAAGCAAAAGGAGTTAAGGGTTAAAATTGGGTGGACCCAATCCAAGCCCAACCCTGTTCAACCAAAACTTTTGCATAGGTTGGACTTGAGTTCTTGAACTTCATGCTGGGCTTGGGTCAAAAAATTTAGGCCTAACTAAACTCTGTGTAGGCTTAGGTTGAAGCCTTGGGAAGTAATCCAATGCAATCTAAGCTGCTCAACACTTTGTGTTATACATTTCTATTTATTATCAATCTATTTTACATGGAAATTGAGCTACAAAGATCAATATGCCGAAGTCCAAGCCTAGCCCAAGTAGGGATGGCAACAAAGTGGGTTCAAGTTTTCGTAAATTTTAGACTCTACCTGCCTCCCTAAACCTCACAACATGTACCCACAGTCAAGGATAGGGGTGATAGGGTTTAGAACCCACATCTAATTTCCTATTATTTCTTGTTATATATAACTAATAAATAAGTATATTAAAGTAACATAAATAAACAACAAAGTTTCCAAATATTTTATTAAGATGTAAAAAAAACAAAAAAAAACACAAACTGTCAATTATCCTTCACATCAAAATCAAAATGTTATTAAATTCAACACCTAGTTTACAAAAGTTTATATGCTTTCCAACAATATGTGGGTTGGGGATCGGAGGGATAGGTTTAGCCTAGTACCATACCCTACTCATAACGTACGGGTTGTAGAATCCCAAAACCCAACTTGCCCCACAACCCATCCTTCAAGCAAAAATCCGAGATTCCCTAATTGAAATTAGGAATTCGTTTGGGCCTGGGGTGGGTACCTATCGGGTACGGTAGAAATTGCGCCTAGTTTGGTAAACTCAAGCTTAACCTTGACTTGAGCCAAGCCTAAGCTCCAGGTTTGAGACTTAGGATTGGGTTGACCCTTAATTTGACCCAACCCACCTAAGTTGCACCCCAAAAAAGAGTTTTTATTTTTTATTACATTGTTCTAACTTTTACTAAATTTTTATTTAGTAGTAGTTTTTATTATTTTAAATGGATTAAAGGATTTTAAATTACTAATAGTTGAATGTAATAATTTAATTACTTTTTAATTTTTATAAAATAATTGTAGTATCATTATCAAATTATAAGATTTAATTTTGAAACTAAAATTAAACATTTATTAATTTGTATTTACTTTCTTTTTAAATAAAAGATATTGTATTAATAAAAATTATTAAAATATTTTTGTTAAATGTGGGTTCACTTTCTTTTTATTAAATTAATAAAAAATATTAATTAATAATTTACTTTCTTTTTATTAAATGTGGGTTCACTTTCTTCGATTCAATTATAAGATTGGGTTTACTTTCTTTTTATTAAATTAATAAAAATTATTAATTAGAAGAAGCTTAATTAATAATTTGCTACTTTAACTAATAAAAGTAAAATAACAAATAAAAGTAAATTATTAAATAACCCAGGTTAGGCGTACACAAAGTTAACTAACTACTAATTAATTAGTTATAACTAATTAACTTATTTTAACTAAGCTAATGAAGTAAATTAGTTAAGGTACTCAAGTTAATTTAATTTAACTAACCTCTCTTTGATCCTAGCATGACCTACCTAAAAAAATAGAAGGTCATGAACAAAAAAAAAAAATACTGATCTTCTAATGGCACCGAGAAAAATTAACCCCAAGAACTCCCAAATCTTTTGTAAAACTTTGCCAGAAAACCTTTTAAAAGAATAAAATAAAACATATCCTAACTTGTGCTCCAAAGAAGAAAATAATAAGATGACAGAATGCTAAGAACATAATGCAAATGTAGCATCATCTATGACACGTCTTCTACTGTATTGAGTAGAAGATAAATAGAGAGAATAGACTGTAGAGTTTCAAATGTGCAAAGATTTCCTACTATATTCGGATAGAGGAGAGAGTTTGAAAGGTGGGAAGATTTCCTACTATATAGGGAGTGGTTTCCTATTATATTGGGTTGGATTCCTAAAATCATGATATATATTATACATCTAATTACTTGGGCTTAAAGAGAAGATTGTTAATTAATTAAAAT